CCGATACAGCTTTTACTGTATATAATGGTACATACCGAGAGGGGAGGCAGATTTTAATGTTGTTGCAATACGTTTCCTAGCTACGTATAAGGTGACCTCTATAAATTTTACTTGGTGTTTGTTCACAGATCGACTGACCAAGTTTCCCAGTAAACTCAATTCAGGATCTAAAGAAACAGCGATTCCTGTGATATACTCAATATAATTCAGAGGTCATACCAGAAGGGGCCACTTTTATACAGAGCCAGGTACAGTGTACAAAGAAATCGATATCTATACCACACCTAAAGCACATAGAAGAAAGTGAAGACAAAAGAGGTGTTTGTCAATTGTTATGTTCCAGTCTGACTCCCACATCGCTCTGGATTTATGCAAATCTGGTTTGAGGCTCTAACTCTGTAAAAAAGGAAAAATGCTTCTTTTAAATGTAGAGGCTACTTTCCTCTTTCTTGTCGCTAATCCCTAAGCAAAGATCATAAGTGAAAGACAAGGCACAGCAACAAAGATCTTGGGAGCATATGGGAAATTAGAAGGGTGAAATGTAGATAATAATGTTAAAGATGAAACATTCATTTGAGGCTCCTTTGAAGGATAATCAGTCAGTCACATACCTGCTGGGTTACACTCAGTCATAAGACTAGTCCAAATAAGTACCGTGAATAGCGTGATACTCCTAACTCCTACAGAGAGGTATTCACATCACATGCAGTCAGGCAGCTGGTTTTCAAAGAAGCATACTATAGTATGCTATAGTATGCTGCTAACGCTATAAGGACGTTCAACAGCCATTCAGCTGTATCACCTTGCGTTTTACCTGCTAAGACTAAATAACTCCTATTTTCATAAAGAAAAAAAAGATGGGAAATAGATTCAAAGTGGATTTTTGGAAATGTTGATTTAAATGAGCTTTGCCACTCAGGTTGAAATTCCTCTGGTGCTTTAGTTTATTTTTTTAGGGATTTTTTTTGTGTGTGTGTGTGTTTTTTCTTGCTGTTGACAGATTTCAGTCATATTTTCTCATTTGTTTTCAGACTCGATGGGCTTCAGTTTCATCCCCCTTACAGATGCTTGCAGCACACAAACTCAAACCAAGCACAGGATTCGTGATAATACCTGAGATCAATCAAAAATTCTGGAAATTGTACGTCAATTGTGCTTGAACAGAGGATGTAATCCAAGAAAATAATATCGTTAATGTGCTGGGATTGCAAAACCTTAATTAGATCAGCAGCTTATCTGCAGCTGTTAGTGTTTTGAAGTGTTATTAGTAGCGAGAGGTGTACAGAGAGCTCATGAAGACGAAAGAGATACGCTTTGGCTTTATCTGCTCTATACACTGTGTCAGGCCATGCGATAATGTTTTCAGCAGATTACAAATAGACAAGGTCTTTAAATTGGGCCCGACTACTCACCAAAGACCAATCACCGTGAGCCGACACCGGAGCCGGCTGTAATATGTGTGTGAAATGAGAACCATCACAGTAACGCTGTGCACGGCTTCCCTGATGAACGAGACCCCCTTTAAACTAATGTTAAATGGGCTGGCTTTGATAGAGCAGAAAGTTAACCCTTTTTTCCTCTGCAGACCTTTACACCGAGCACTTCAATGAAAGCACAGATAGCAAACTCGGTTAAAACAAACCTTTTTTTAAGATCCTTTCTGTTTTTAAACGGTACAAAACACCTCTGAAATGTGCAATTAAAATTAGAAAAGATGGAGCTCTTTTCATCTGTCTCTTTTGATTGTGTCCACTTAACATCTTTATATGCACAAACTATAAAGTGTGTAGGAAGGCAGATGCTGACTCTGCCTCCAGAGGCACAAACTCAAATAAACACTCTTTGCTGCAGGTATCATGCTGCTCCCACGCAGTATGTTGTGCTGCAAATGAGTATCCATACTCTTCCGCAGCACCCCGCCACTGCGCACCTCGGGGGTCAGCATATGGCTGGCAAGAATTTATTCTATGCCCCTCAGCGGGCCCTAAACACTTCTAATTAATGCACCAATATGGTCCAAATTTTGCTGCATACAGGCACCCACTTGTGAACAGATTGACAGTGCTAATATATTCTCTCTCTCTCTCTCTTCTGGAACAATAGCCACATTATCAGATTTGATTCATTTGCATTGTATAGCCAAACTGCAGTGAGATTGTTGGAGATATTTAGCTTACTTCCTATTAACCTCCTATTCATTAGACAGAAAAACAGCAACAACAACAAAACAAACTGCTGGCTCCCATTTCTTGGAGAGAGATACAAAGTTTCCTACAAGTCTTGATAACTTTACAAGTTTTTGCAAACACTAGGAAGAAAAGAAAAAAAAGACTGATGCCCTTGAAGTTCTAAATTTAAGATGGAACATGTGTGACTGGAGCCTGCGCAGTGATTGAGGCGAGTGCTGTTTTTAGCTTCTAATGAAAGGCTTGTTCATTAAAAATGCCTGACTTTGATGGTGTGGAGGTGGTACGCAAACAATGTCACAAGTCTAGAACAATAGCTCACACACCTAAAAATAAAGATGTGCTTGGAAACATGCCTTTGCTTTTTATCACTCTGGAATTATGAAAGATGTGTGGTTTTTATTCAAGGAATAAATCAGTGTTACCTAAGAGACAACACGTTGTTCACTGCCTACAGTATAGTGGTGACATCAGAGAGGTGCATTGCTATGTTCACTTTCCTGTCTTTGGTAAAGCCTGTCAGCTGTCAGTGCACTGCAGGATCTCTCCTTTCCCATATAGTTGTTCTCCTGATATTAAAAGCGGAACAATTTCTTTAATTTTGAGGCCGTACGGCTGCCACTGAGCAGGTGTTTATGTGACAGTCTAATGGCTGAGTATTGTAATTCTTGTTGCTGTAACTCAATAAAGGTGAGAGGCTTGGTAATAAAGTGTCAGACTGTCGTGTTGTGGAAACATCAGCAGTGTCACAGTGTCAGAATATATGCATCCACCCACTCACACTTATAGGAGGAGGAGGTTCAATCGAGAGAGCGAGACAAAAAGAAGAAGAGGAGAAAAAGGCGCAGCTTTCTTGTAATATTGATCCATAAATGCAGAAAGTGCGCCATCTATTGGGTGAATTTCAACTTGCAACCATAGCTTTTTAAAGTGTCCAGATTTTTGCTGGATGTAGAGCTATTTTCAAACACTAGGTGGCGATGCACTCATTCAGTAATGCATTTTTTATACTAAATAGCTTACTAGTTTTCCTTCTTTTTATTTGGATTTCTATACGCACACTGCCTTAGGGTGGAAGATTAATTCTACACTGTTTTATTGTAATTGATCAGGATTTTGACATGTGAACCATAACATATTTGACACTGTTTTATGTTTGCTACCCTCAGTCAGAGATGTGTCTACTGTCAAGTGTGATAAAGTTAGGTTTGCAGGCAATAAAGAAGAAGTTCTTTCATTAAAAAATTTCACATTTGTTTATCTGTGCGAGCTCTGACAGTGACTCATTGTTGTAGTAAAAGACTGGAAAAAAAACTATATGAAAAGTAATTAAAGCCAAGGTGAATACGCCAGCAATGATCGATCAGGAAATCCAGAATGACGTGTTAATATTACAAAAGACCACAGAATATTTCAAAATAGAGAAAGGTTTGACAAATGGAGTGTGTGTGTGTGTGTGTGTGTGTGTGTGTGTGTGTGTGTGTGTGTGTGTGTGTGTGTGGGGGTGTGTGTGTGTGGTTACTCAAGAAACATATCAATGT